TTACTAGTAAAGCGGGGTCAGTATTATAAAGTATTACGCCAGAGCGATGTCAAGACAACAAGATGACGAAAGAAACTCTAGATGTTGACACTAGAGGTACACTTCCATATTGGTTGGATGCGCGCTTCAAATCTCTATTTTGGATAGTCACGCGCAATACGTCACACAACCTTTGGTATTTTGTTGATATTGCGCCTTTATGTTTTCGCTCTTTTGAATCTCACATAACTCACATTTTCAAGTTTTGATACTGTTCTCTCAAACAACATTGAAAATACATTTTAAATTCCAAGCCTAATAGGGCCAGTATGAGGTCAACGAGTACGGTTTTGAAGTTAGCGCTTTTTGTGACATTTGTCGCCTGCTGGAGCGCCTCCGCACAATCGACAAACATAACTGTTGGCTTTCTTATTCCTATGTCTGATCCAAATAGTCTTGTTGATGTAAATGTTGGCCAAGACCTTCCTGGTGCGTTTGACTTTGCTGTTGACATGGTCAACAAGTATGTGATGGGCAGTGGTAAGTCACTTCACTTGTTTCGTTGTAAGACAAAAAAACATAAGGTAACTCCGATTCGTTTTTTGCCAGTTTAGAGTAAAATTTCAAAACGCCTTCCAACACTCAGAAGCAAAACCTAATGGGGTAGAATATGCATTATTTGGAACATACCTTTTTATACAAAGCTTGTTATGTCGTTAGTCCAAGGAAAACACAACATTTAATATTTCATTACAATTTAAATGTTTTATGTAAAAAACAAGACACTCCGCGATGGGTGTCTTTTACGGTCAGTGATATTTACGAAAATATTTGTTCACAGTTTTATAGAACTTTTATAACTAGAACACGCCCAATAATATCGTATCTGTAGCCAGTATTAGAGGAATTTCAAGTTGATTGAAGGTGTTGTTGTCTACTCTTCTAGCCGTGGTTTTGCGGCGTTTTGGGTTCCGAGAGATATTTTACTTTGTCTGCTACAGCCGGCTGTATACCAATGATGTGTATACAATTATATATCGTCATTAGTGATATGGCCGGTGTTTTCATCTAAGGAATTGTTAAAATTTATCGATTGGCATATCAAAACATTATCTTTAATACTTTCTATTTGTTTTGTTTGAACACAGATTACCAAATAACATATGAATGGAAGGATACATACTATGAAACTAATATGGCCTTGATGAAGATAGGTGATTGGTGGAAAGCTAAATACCCTGCTATAGTAGGACCTGGCACTTCATGTAGTTATGAAGCTAGATTTGCCTCATCTCTAAATATCCCATTGATTGATTATGTGAGTGATATTACATTAAACTCCTTCATGGAATTCTTAGTACTGTGCTGTATATTATTTATATTCTGTGCTGTTAGTTATTTATATTTATATTATAATTTCTCAACTAGCCAAATGAATACACGTCTTATATGCTAGTGCTCTGAAATTTGTTAATGTAACACTCCAAGTTATATTGGTTGTGTTATTAGGGCTATTTATACTAGGGTACATTTCATTCTAAGAAAATGAATATGTTGTTCAGAGAACGAAAAATGTATTTTTTGTATACAGTATGAATGTAGTACAGTGTGTACAGTACTACCATACTAGCCTACATTAGAGTATTTGCTGGTTATCAAGTCCAATCGCTGAATATATCACAATGAATCTGTCATTTGGTTGGTTGTTTGTTAGTAGCTAGTTGTTATGATAATCCCATCCATTTGATAGAATATTAAACTTTTTATGTATACTACAGAGTAAATCTCAGAAATGTGATGTCGCTTTTCACTTGTTTAGCTAAACATGAGCCATTGATGGTGCACATCATGCACAAAATTCTAAGTCTCGTATACTGTTGTAATCGAACCATATGTTGTGCTCATTTGACACCCACAATTTGCCTCAAATTATTGGTTGTGTCTCATATTAAAATGATAATATATGATTTTCCGTGTTTCACAGTGATTGTCACCACCATTACAAACCTGTCAATGTGCTTTTCAACACTCACAATCACTGTAAAAACACATTTTTATTCGTGGTCAAACCCTACCTGTTGTAACAAATGGATGAATATTGCGTTTTTCAGCTTTGTGAAGATGAATCTGTGGAAGACAAAGATATTTTCACAACTTACCTGAGATACAATCCTCCCGGAAAAGATCTAGCTTACGTTATTGTCAAGTTGATGGAATCGTATGGATGGCAGCGATGTTCAGTTATCAACTCAGATGCACCAGCTTATCAAAGTGTAGCAAACACTCTTTTTCGTTTATTTGATGAACATGGTATTGAAGTCACAAATAAACGCAGCTTCCCAGGAGATTTTGATCCTGATAAACATAACGTTGATTTCAGGGCTATAAATCTGGACTGGAATATAATGCTGAATGCCATTGCTCAGACTACAAGAAGTAAGTTTTATAAACCTGCACCAGGGGTTTTTCTAGAAAAAAAACTGCAAGCGTCAGCACTGCAATTCAGCGGCGCCACCAAGTGCGGGAGATAGGGTTCTCCCTATTCTAAGATAAATGGAGCATTCTATGGCTTCCTTGGAGCCAAAATTACTATCATACAGGTCACAGTTGAAGACTGTGGCCACATTTGATCCCTGGTCAATCAGAATTTTATGGTTGCCAGAGGATCTACTCCCCAGGGTAAGGGGGCGCATGGACATGGCATGAGGGCGCTGTTCCCTTGTTTAAAAAAATCCCTGATGTCTGATATCATTAAATAATTTGAGGTTAATGGTCATGGTCAGTGACACATGACACATGCAAGATTTGTTTTTGGTTTGGTATTTGGTTCCTACAATACACTATGCTTTTCAAATGGCAACTTAGCAAACACAAATGCAAGTTTTGAAGTGGCTACATTAAATGTGCATTTATTATAAACTTTTACTTCTTTGTTTCCATCAATGCAGGGTTTCGATCACCCCAGGAATTATACAGTACATATACCTTGTTAGTCCTCGTTTGGATATAGTCCAAAACCTAGGACTTATATTTACATCTGTGTGTGTCTGTTTACACCTGTATCTCAGATATGCCTGGGTCAGTTTCATTCAGACTTCACACACGTGTCATATCATATATGCATTTGTAGTATTATTAAATTAAAGATGCTATTATGTGCCTAAAAAGTTCTCAAAATTAAGCATTTCCTAAACTGGATCTCGGTTGTGCATAAACATAATTCACTCAAGCTTGGTATGTCTATTGAACATAATGGGATTCTTAAAATTAATACACATCATTTTTTCCCAGATCGGATTGAAAATGGCAGGATTGCGGGCATTTTGTTCTAACAAATACAGTGCAAGGGAACATATCACACATCACATCATATCATACATGAGCACATACAGTTGTTTCATGATCAAATTCAAGATCATTAGATGGCCGAATGGTGGTCATTTTATTTCTAAAAATCAAGCATTTCTGCCATTCCAGATTTGGTCGAGCATGGACATATTTCTTTCAAACTTGGTATGTCTAATGTCTCTTGATATTCCTGATTTGATTCAAAATGGCTGACTGAATTTTAGAGCCTTATGGCTAACATGGCTGGGCTGATCATGGTCAAACTTTACACATACATCATGTAATCCATTCATACAATACATCTGTTTCAGAAACTGTTTCAAGATGGTTGGTGGTAATTTCCGTGCTATAAATGCATTATGAATGTCATGGGTGGAATGAAGGAATGAATCTCAAATAAACTGGTTCCACTGTGTATCATATGTCTGCTACATGAGTGTATATAATTATTTGGCACAAATGTTGAATGTCACTAGACGAGGACTTTGGTGTTAAAATCATAAATTACTGTAAACCCATTTTGAAAGATAAAATATGTGATGAACTTGAATGAATATTCTCTATTTTTTGACAGTCTATGTGTTCATCGGTACCGTGTTACAAAGTCGTGATTTCATGATAACTTTGAAAAAGAGAGGTCTGTTGGCAGATGGTTTGGTTCAAGATGGTACCTCGATGGTTATTTCAACATCAATGGAACATAAATTTTGGGGACTCGCACAGTACGCCAAAGGTTTGTTGTATATATCATATTGTTTTCTGGTATATACCATTTTTTTTTTTTATTTTCCTGTGTGTATTTTTATTCTCACTTTAATTGTTTGTTTGTCTTTATTCACATCTGTATTGCATTTTAGTCAAAATTCTAATAGGGATACAAACGCAATACGCAATAAAGATAATTATTATTACCACTGCAGCTAGAGAATGTAGTGTTACAGTAGCACTGTATAACCCACTGGTTTCTTGTGTCACAATCAGAAATATTAAATTCTGACTAGAATAGAAAAACTAGTACATTAAATTAGTGATCATGAATAAACTACTGTAGAACAAATTGGAATAGCTGCATGCAATTTTAGAGGATTTGACTCTTGACATGAATTAATAGAATCTTAATTTAGCTAAAATGTCTCCCTGTGAGAATAGACCTTCTGTTAAATTAGGTGCATCTTGAATTAGCGAAATTACAGATTAGCTAAATTAGCTAAAATAACATGCTAGATAAAAAGACATGTTTTACAGTATACTCTGATAAATTAAAATCATCTAACTTACAATACATATGTGTAAATTTGCAATTAATTGTTTCTTTCACATTATTTGTTGTCAGGTTCCTATACTGATGCAGAAGATGATACTGCATTTAAAGCCATGAAGAACCTCATTATTGTTGAGAGTCAAATACCATCTGGTGATGTTTCTTATTACAATGGATTTGTAGATGCATACTTGCATCGAAGTGAAACCAAGTTTGGCACTTTGCCATACGGGGTAAATTTAATTACATGTACAATTTAATTAAAATAGAAGCAACAGTTCATTTTGAAGAAAATATTTAGAGACTGGGTACATTCACAACAAAACGCATATAGCGCCCTCTATTGGTTCAAGCTTATGTTCACCACTAGAGGGAAGTAGATAGCTGTAATTGCTATTGGCTGGTTCCCGCCTCAAGTGTCGTGGCCCACCAAGCCACAATAGGTCGGTAACTAGTAATGTTTCCGGGATTCTGATTGGTCCGTCAAGTTTTCATTCTTAGTTCTATTTCCCTTGGTTACCTGACGTCAGTTCTTGCACTCGTGGCCATGTAAACATGGGTTTCCTTTTACTCTAGAATATTACACAGATATAAAACTGCTACTTTTGTTATTACTTTGCACAAAAATAGTGAAAAAAGCTAGAACCACCTCAAGTGTGTAGTATAAGTAGGCAGAATGAAGGGACGTGTCATTATTGCAGCATTATGGACGAGTTTGCGTGCGGAACTTGGAATGTTTTCAAATTTCTCAGTCACACGAATCCGGAATCATGACCCAGTGGAACAATATGGCGATTACTAGTTACCTGCGTAGTACTTGCCATTCATAAGGGACACTTGTAACCAGCGAATTGTTGCTACAATTACTTGCATGTATAGTTTGTAGGTATTAGGGGTGTATTTGAATCAACAAAAATACTTAAAGGAATGACAAATAGAATCTTGTTTAAGTTGTCTATTCTTTAGTAGAAACTCTGCATGCTAGTTGTGTTGGCTGGCTATGGAAGACATGCACTCCCATAGTCATCACCATACATACATTAAAGTACTTTTAGACATTCCATGCACACACTTTAAGTCTTTGGAGTTACAAGATTTCAGTGAAACTGTGCATAGAAAAATGACACCATATGTAATTTAATTTGGGCATCAGATGAGAGTTTTGGTACTAAAATAGGTGTCTCAAGCAGTTTAAATATAGGTCGAAAATGTTAGTTTCAGGTTAAAATCTATGCATAATAATTAACTAATTTGCATAATATTAATTAATTTGGAACTTTTTTTACTGATATATAATATTTCGATATTATGGATTATTTTTCATATTGTTTATCTTGAACAGTTGAACTAAGTCAATGCATAGGGTCCCATTTTAATAGGCTTATCTTAAAATTTATTTCATGTTTTCAGTATCCTCTAGACGCAAGATTTTGTTTGATATTATTTGTAATATCATTTTGTTGTCAGCAGCAGCTGCTACGCTACCATTCATTAAAGGCCCGGTCACATCGCCCGAACTTTGTTAGAGCGTTCCTTCAACGGTAGGGAGAGGGGGCGGAATTTAGACAACGCACAAAATGGGGAAAAAATGGTTTAGCGAAAGTTTGGGCGATGTGACCGGGCCTTAGGGTTTGAAATGTAGCACAGTGCAGGGCTTAAAATTAAAAACACAGCCCACCAGTGTTTTGTTACTTAAGGCCTTATATACAGTAAACAACCAATAACAAACACATTGAAATATATTTAATACTTATTATTATGTTGTCTGCAGTTCCTCTGTTAAAACTTTTTGATTTCCTTTTTATTCAGTCTAGGAACTCATTGCGTGGATTTTATCTCTTTGATGCAATGTGGCAGGTTGGTAATGCAATAAACCGAACTATTGAGAATGGGGAAGACTTGTATGATGGCAAGACTTTTATCTCTCATTTGATGGGTGAAAAATTTTCTGGTAAGCTGGCTGTGAATTTCTGTCCCTATAGTCATACCTTTTTGATCTGATCTGTACGTGCAATAAAATATATTTTTTTGAGATACTTGCCTTGTTTAAATAATAATTGTTACCATGAACAACATAATTAGGCAAAAAAAAACTTATGTTGCCCTCAAGTCAGAAAATTGAAAAAATTGGGTCGGTCGGTCAGATTTTTTTTCTTTTTTTCTGAACTCGTGAAAACTAAGGGTATCGTAAATAGCCAAGGTATATGGGAATCAATCAAACGCATGCTAGATATTAAACACAAAAATCAGTGTTTCTTTCAATCTTTTTGTATAGATTAACCCGAGGTTCAAAGTCGCCACTTATCCCCCTCGGAACCCTTCATTCATTTTTAGAAGCAACACTTTTTTACTGCTTAAATTGGTGAGTTTTTAATATTTGGGCCTATTAAAAAAAAAAACACGACTCGATATTTCATACTTTTCGATCGATCACTGAGGGCAACAAAACAATTTTTTTTTTTATGCTCATATACGTCATTTAAATCCACAATGGATAAATCTAAAGTGCATGTACACAATCCTGATAATAGGGGATTACTTCCCTTGATTCTTTGCATATAGAACTTAACAGCCAAGTGGTTATTGTGCAGTACATGTTTAAATATCATACAATCAATGTATTTTACACATTCGTTAAATTGCATCTGACCCGGTCGTATCGAATATGATGCGACATTTTTTAATAGGTGATTTTCCGAACAATTGCGAGATCTCGCGAGATGCATGAAAGACGCGCGTCGAACGTCTGCTGCAAAAATCGAACGATTTGATTTTGAACTAGAATTTCTTTATTTCGCAGCTTACATTGACCGGCCGATCTTCGACAGAGGAATATTGCTTCCGAATACCCTCACTTAATCGAAATTGCCTATCATCAAATGTGGACAGCACATTATTAAGCATGGAAATGTCCCCGAAATACTTTTGCGTTTGTCGAATCCCACGCGACTACGACGCTATGACCTTTGTTTGTCCTGTTTTTACGTTCGATTTCACGCATAACGCGTGATTCTCGCAGTGTTCGGAAAATGGTCTATTGTATTTATAGCTTGATTTTAAATAGACTGTGTGATATTCTAGCTGTTTGATTATGTCAGCAACCACACAATGATCAGCTTATGTATACAAAAATAGACACAAAAAGATGCCAAAGTCTCCTCGCCTGCCAGTCCCTCCCATCACATCTGTTTATGTTCCATTTATTTAACCAGGGGAAGAGTACATGTACTAGTAACTATTTTTTGTGATATTGTCTAACATGACTATTCTCTGGCGAACATCCAGGCATTTTCATCGCCTGACAACCACCAACGATGAAAACAAAAGCTGAAAACTCTCAGGAAACAGTACTTTGGGCTAGTTCTTGAGACTTTCCTGAACAGTGTACCAAGATTACCCCTATGTGTGCAACATATATAAATTTGGTTGTTAAGCATTACCTCAAAGTTTAGTTTGTGCAATTTTCTCAACTTAAACTGGCTCTTCTACGGCGTTCTATAGCAGCTTGTGCATAGTCAATAGAAATACATTAACAGTGGTACGCGTCTTAACAACCTATTCAGTGACATAGCTCCACCCTTGAAATAGGTATGAATTTGGATAAACAAACATCATGAGTATGACCTACTGAGACTCAAATGCCATTGTGACATGTACTGAAACCAGTGAGCGTTGTGTATTTTGCAGGCCTTGCTACTGCACTTGGACTACAATGGAGTCGATACACAGATGAACATGGTGTCACCCATAGTGATATTGATGTAAAATCCTGGAGATTATACGATTCATTTCACCATTTGCTATTTGGAAGAAACTATGAAGAAGTTATTACTGTAGGTGTTGATATGGCCATGCTGCCAGCTATGCGGTATACATTAGATCCTGAAACTGGTGATTGGGTGAGTCATTATAATGTTCACCCTTCTAAAAACTTGTATCCATAAAAACTAGAGAATACAGGGACAGGTAACTGTCGCAAAGTAAGGTAATAGAATGATGTACGTTCTATGCATTGTCTCTTTCACAACAGAATAGTTATAAAGTTAATGTTCATATACTGAATTTTCATTTCTTATTCAAACACATTTTTTGCAGAAAAGAATGACATAGTTACTTTTTCATTCAACAAAATTCATAAAGAAAAAAAAAATAATACAAAAGACAACAGAAAAGCTGAAAATGCGAACCTGAAAACAAGGAATCAGAAAAAAATATATAACAAATTCTAAATGCTGCAAGACAGAAAAAAAAAACACTGAAGACAAAAGGCAATTCTGAAAAGAAAAAGTGGGAAAGATCAATCAATGGCAGTGAGCTTTGTTTACTCCTTGTAATTTTATATCAAATGAGTAAACATAATTGGCATATTTATATGATAAAATATTTTTTCCCCAAATGCCTGGGTGCATACCCCCCTCAAGTATTCATTTTGTTATGGCTCAGTACGATGTTAAAAATATGTACATTGTTTAATGTTATTAACTCATTGTAGATTATTGATGAGACTGCTTTGGAATTGGGTATCACATGGCCAACTTCCAATGGGGAACCCCCGTTAGATATGCCAACTTGTGGATTCTTTAATGAACATTGTCCAGGTAATTGAGCTTATTTATTTATTTATTTATTTATTTATTCATTCATTCATTCATTCATTCATTCATTCATTCATTCATTCATTCATTCATTCATTTATTTATTTATTTATTTATTTATTTATTTATTTATTTATTTATTTAATGTAATATTTTATTTTAACCTTTTCACCACCAGACTTTCTCTCCAAGTTATTCTGCATTTTCTTTTTATATTCTTCAATATTTCTAGAAATGAACCCTAATTTTGGAGCCAACAGACAAAATTTTAGTCAATTTTCAGTTTGTACTCCAAAAATTTGGCTATTTTTGTCCCAATCTTCTGAAGAAAAAAACAGGACTATTTTGAGAATTTGTGATGAAAAAAGGGAATTGGTGGTGAAAAGGTTAATGAAATGGACTGGAGACAAGATCAGAGAAACAAACAGTTTCATAGAAAAATTAAATTTAGCGTGTATGCCTAATGTGAATTGACTGTTCGTATTCCACAACAAGAGAGAGACTGTTGTATCCATGGCCACTCACTTCGTTCAATAATGATTATTGTGACATACTGTCATGTAATGTTAGGTTTAATTTTAGGCTTGGCAATATTTTCTGGTTCAGAACTAGAAAGGCAACAAGTCAATGTGAACATCAGAACATTTTTAGTAGTCTGAATTTTAAATGCTAGTGAGTGGGCGGCGATATTTGTGTGGTCAAAAATAAAAAGGAAATATCCGGTCAAGTTCGCAAAAGCGAGCAAAAAAAAAAAAGCAATGAAAAAACTGAAGCAAGAGGGAGTACTGTATATTGGGATGAAAAACTGAGAATGATTCAGAGAGGAATATACAATAATAGAACTAGGAGTATCATGATAGGTAAATGATAGGTAAGAAAATTCAACCGCATATATTTTGCTTTTTGTTCACACTATAGAGCTAAGATCTTGTATTATTAATATTTCAGACGTAGTTACTCCAGCTGCATCCGCGGGCAGTGTTGTGTTTGTGCTATGTGTTACTCTCATCATTGTCTATTTTTATAGGTAAGCTGTCATTTGTACTTGTCATTTGTCAAGCCTTCGAGCCCATAAGTCAACATTTATTCCTAAATATGACGCTTTGTACAAAATAACATCTAGAAGACAAATTTGGCACACATATTCAAAATTAGCTTCAGGACATTTGTCCAAAATGGCATCTAGCATCATAGGATATTTCTAATATTTCCCATATTTTGGTGTAAAACAGTCAATTTAACAAAAAGCACTTTAATAGGCTGGTGGTGATTGAAATAATTGAACAAAATTTAGGATGTTTTGATGTTCAGTGACATTTGAATAACTACATATCAGCTCAGTATTTCATATGACAAAATTAAATATAGCTTGTTATACTTTCTTTTTTAGACGGCATAAATATGAGGCCGAATTGGATAGTCTTGTTTGGAAAATTGATTTTGAAGAAGTAAAATTACGTGGTGGACAAACCACATCAAGGGGTGGCATCTCTATAAAAAGTATGGTAAGTCAATTTCTTTGTTGTTCATCATGTTTTTGATAATCCACAAATTTTATAGAAACGTTTTTTGGATTACTTTTAAGTTGCTGGTCTGTTACCAGTAACAGTTTTACACTAATTTTAATATTGAAACAATTTTATGAAAAGGCTGTTGTTGCCAGGCATTCTCAACATCTTGTTTCTCTTTATTTGCTTTCATAAAATTGACTGGACCACTGAACCATGAGAATTTGGAAACATTTTTGATATATAAAACAGGATTTGTTCAAATTTGGCATTATCACCCTTGTACACCCTCACCCTTTACTTTAACACACTGATGTTTACTTTCAGATGATGAGTACTTTATCTATTATCACCAACCAAGAACAACAGCAAATCTTTGCTAAGACTGGAACCTATCGTGTATGTAGAAGGAAAGTTATCAATCTGATAAAATCTGATGTAGTGTACGGGCTTTAATTATTTTGGCTATAAACTTATTTTAATTTTATTTTTATTACTTTTGTTATTAATGCCTTTTTATTTTATTATTTTACTTTGATTTTGATTTTGTGATTTTTTTTAATTCCGCCCTACATACATCTGACTAAATGCCTATGTAACGAGATTTCAACGAGACCAACTATCAACGATTTTAGTCAACGAATCACAGATCTCCTTATATAGCGCACATGATGACGTCACCAGGCAGAGTCAGGTGGCAAACACACTCAAATAAAATGGCGGATTGTACCGACGTTAGCGGCCGAGAAAAACACGGCTTTTCGGTAAGTTTAGCATTGTCAAATGCAACGAAAGTCATTTTTTTATATTTATATTGTGGCTCAAATGGTTTGAGTTTAGATCGTTATTTTGCGTAGCTATTCTGGGAGTGACGATTTTGTTTCCACCGGTTCGACCGAACACCGGTGTCTTTTTCCATTCGCTTGCCCTGGAGACAGGTGATGTTTTGTTGACAATCGGGCCAAAATCGTCTACGGTATTGAAGCCGTAGCTGTAAATATTCATCAAAATGTATCAACATTTTGTACATTATACAATAACTCTTTATTAAAGTAATTGAGCTGATTTGGACTGGAATAAAATATACACATCGCAATTGATCAGGAAATATTTTGCTCCAATTTTCTGTGTCAATGCCGTGGGCCGGTGACCGTTATACAATTTAAAATCAGTTTGCATTGTTTACTATAGTTGTTTACAGTGTTCCAATCATTAAGATTTACTTATTTTTTGCTTCCATTCTAGAGAATTATGCTCAGTGTTTGATGTAAAATTGAAGCGATGACTGAATAAACGAACCTTGGATGGCGAAGATGCATCAGGAAGTGTACACATTTGTTGGAAGTGAAAAAAATATTCAATTGTAGTTGACAAAAATTGTAAAATGCTGTGGAATTTCTTTTGTAAATAAAAATATACTAGCAATATTAATGGTTTATTCAAGTGGGCAAGATATAATGTACAGAAAGATTGCCCGTAGAGTATTGCTACACTGAAAAGTAAGTGTAAACTAAGAACAGACTTCTCAAGGTAGAGTGAACCAAGTGAGTATTGGTCACCAGATCCGGGAGGAGAATAACACACTGGAGAGGAGCATTTGTAGCCAAGGTGTTTATTGCTCAACTGCTAGGCCTGAAACTGAGTCTAAATACTCACGAGATGTTCCATACAATGTATCAATATCATTATGCAAATAACTAAACTAAACATCATAGCTTCAAATCATTACAGTAAGCAACCGACAGCATGTATGAAAGGGGGGCTGTGATTGGCTGTTACTTACGCGAGATTTGAACAGGACTTACATAGGCATCGGATCAGATGTATGTAGGGCGGAATTAAAAAAAATCACAAAATGAAAGTAAAATAATAAAATAAAAAGGCATTAATAACAAAAGTAATAAAATTAAAATAAGTTTATAGCCAAAATAATTAAATCCCGTACACTACATCAGATTTTAATCAGATTGGAAAGTTATATACCATATATGACCTTAAATTGAGATAACACTAATAACTTTATTACACTACCGAACCATCAGCAGGTTCAGTATTGTAAATAAAAAGTATTACAAGACTAAGACAATGATAATTATAAGTGCTGGTACACAAAACCATAACTTATGTTTCATACTTAACCTAACTCAATTTTAGTTTTGCCAAATTCATGTCACATATAAAGATTATTCACTACCGGTCACTGGTAGCATAGTGGTTGTCGCATCAGATTCATGATCGGTAGACCCAAGTTCAAGTCCTACCTTAGGCTGAACATCAAAGGGTTGACCCCTACCCTGGGTGAGTGTGCCACATCCTTAATGGGAAGGCCAATTCCACTGGCAGAGATTCATTCACTAACGACTTTGGGGGAACTTTGGTTAAGGTCCGCAGGTGCTTGTGTTCGATCGAGCCTGGTTGATGCCAGGATAGCGCATTAAAATTGCCATTTGATAGAGAGATGGCCACACAGCCCTGTCATGTAGTCCCAAACATGAATATGACTTCTGTGGCAAAAATGCACTATGTGTCAGCACTAGCACTTGCAATTTGCACATACAAAAAAAAGTCAGGAGAGACAAGTGACACTTTATGTCCAGAACTGTCGCCTGGCACAAAAACATTTATTAAAAAAAAAAGAAAAGATTATTCACTACCATAGTTCTAATTGTGACTATTACCATAAGCATTATAAAAAAGATCTGTGCAGTATATACGCTGTCACTAAATCAAACCATATTTGTTTTCAGGACCTCACCTGTGCCATTAAACCCATCAACAAACATCATATTGATTTAACAAGAAGTATACGACAAGAGTTGAAAATGGTGAGTACTTGAAACATCCATATTTTTCATGATTTTACTCAAACTAAATTGCCTATGTTTGATGTTTTCCACAGTTTGGTATTGTAAAGATTGATACAGCTATACATACATACAAATTTACATACACATATCTAATATATCTTGTATTTAATCTCAGAGTATGAGGCTAAGTAATAAAATTAAACAATTATTCAGTTTTTGTATAGAAACTAAACTGTACTGTAGAGAAGTCCCAATGAAAAATTATACTAACTTAAATTCTAGTGAAACCATTTCCAAGATCAGTTCCAATGTAACTGTACATCTATAGAGCATTTTAAAGCAGAAGGGTCATCACCTGCATATGTGCGGGAATTGTGTCCCAAGCAACAATAACAACACACGCTAAAAACTCAAAGGCTCATGGGTGGACACTTGTTTGTAAACAATGACATGCTATGGCCAACTGACGCATGCGCAGGTGATGACTCCCCCGCTTTAAAATACATAATACATGCACATGTTCATTTTGATTGTTTAAGGGAAGAGTAGGAAATCAAACTCGCGATTTACCGCGGTCATTACCGCGGTGGTGGTGGGTGCTCGCCGGTCGACCGCATTTTATGCAAATTTATGCATAGATTCCATGACCCCGGTTTACCGCGGTCGTGTGCGGTAGGCTCGCATGGCAATTTACACCCTATTGTTAAGACTATGAATGGACACAATAGACTGGGAAACTAAAGGTTACTTGCCGCCAAGTTCAAATAATAAAATCGAGTGGTACCAGAAGATTGGAAAAATCGTCTATATTAGTTCGCAGAAGAACACTATTTTATTTTCACGAGTCTTGGTATAACATCGCAAGCAACCCAGAATAATGTAGACCCCACATAATGTAAATATTATCACATTATTTTGAATTTACATC